TACATGATGGGGGCCGGGGCTCTGGCTCTTCTTAGTTTGCGGAGGAAGTAGAGACGCTGCTGTGCTTTCTCACATATATGAATATATGAATATTTTAGAAGAAAATTTGACTACAATTTGTGTGTGTGTGTGTGTATAACGTTAATTTTAAGTAATTAAATAATATTTTAATATTATTTAACTGAAATACAAAATATAACATAATGAATATGTGAATTATATTTTATTAAAATATATAGTTAAATTATAATACAACTGTTTAATTTTATATTTCATGAATGTGGAATTGAGAGAAAGACAAAAGTGAATGATAGTCTGGCACATGAGGAGCAAAACAACCACAAAACACGGAACAGAGTCTGACACTCATCTTCAGTTTTGCTCTTGTGTGTGATTGTTTCAAACGAGCGTTAATGTCGAGTCCTGAGATCGTCCAGAATGCCGAGTGTGACTCTTCATGTGTGCTGAATGTGATGTGGTTATTGTTATTGTTATTGTTTGTTTATTTGTGTTTTTCAGATGATCACTTTTGTCACAAAAACGCGCACACACACACACACACACACACGCACTCACTCACTCATACACTCACACAAATATATATGTATATATATACAGTATATAAGATGTATAGTAGATGTTTGTAACATATCAACATTTAGAGTTAAACACAATAGACAAACAAACCAACACACCATTTTAGTTTTACCCTGTAAAAAAAGTTACATTTTTGTTTTTATGACAGTTATTGTACATTTATTTTTGTATTTTTACTTATTTATTTATTTGTTCTCTAAATCTGTTCATTTATAAAGGTAAAAATGGTTCATATATATATATATATATATATATGTATATACACACAAACAGTATGTATGTATATATAATATAAAATAGTGGTTTGTGGTATATCATCGTTTAGAGTTGAGTAAAAATCAAGAAACACAAACCAAAAGATCATTTTAGCAATTTTCTTTCAGTTTTAGCATCTAAAGAAGTTTTATTTTTGTTCACTAAATTCAATTTATAAATGTATACAGGTAAAAAATAAAAAAAAAAGCAATTTTAAATGAAATAAAGCAATGTTTTATTTTATTTATTTGTTTTAATTAATTTATTTATTTATTTATTTTCATTTTAGGTTGGAGTTAGTCTGTAGTAATTGTAACTTGATATAATACTTACGTACATACATGCATATATAATAACACAATTTTAGCAAATATTTGCAGTTTTAGCATCTAAAGATGATTGTTTGGAATAAAACTTTTCTAAATTTAGTTTCAGTAAAGATTTATAAAGATAAAAATGTATTATATATAGTATTAATGTATGTATATGTATATAATATTAAATTAAATATATAGTAAATATATAGTGGTCTGTCATCATTTAGAGTTAAACACAAACCAAAACAACATTTGAGCAACTTCTTACAGTTTAAGCATTTCAAGAAGCTCTGTTTTTGTTTACTGAATTCAGTGTAAGAATGAAGCACAGGTGTGTTCGGTGCGTCTCTGGTTTGTAAACAGACGGTTTTCTCGCTCGGACATAAACAAATTTCACGCTGGGCCGCATAAAGATAAAGAGAGAGAAGCCTTTCTTCCAGACGCTAATTACAGACGCATGTCGTCGAATACGCTGGAGATCAGGAGGAAGAGGAGCAGAGAGGAGGAAGAGTGTGGATACAAGACGCTTGACAAATGAAATGAGCAGATTAGCCAAATCCCACAGACACTGAGCCTATTCTAGAACATAATCCCACAATCTGTGCTGAGGAATTACTGTAGATATGAGCCGCTGAGGAGAATATGAACTGTGTGTGTGTCTGACTGTAATTATTATTCCTGCTGCGCTGCAGTTTAGTTAAACCAGGGTTATTATAGTTAACTAAAACCTTAACCACGTTTTTGTCACTTGAAGTAAACTTCAATAATAAACTGACATAAAATATCAAATATTATTTTATTTCATCTAGTTGACAAAGCAACATTTCTCGTTTTCATTTAGTTTGTATTAAAATAATTAAAACTGAAATAAAAATTATTAAAAACATATAGACATTAAAATAAAATAACTAATAGGGATGACAAACTTTAACTAAAATTAAAATGAAAACGGAAAATTGAAAATAATACAAAATATTACTAAATATAAAAAAAATAGTATCTCAATGATACTAAAATAGCACTGGTTAAAACTGTTTTTATTGTACTGCGGTGTTGAATTCATGATTTTGTAGCATAATGAATATTGTGAAAATAACGGTTCATTTTATTTCAGTAAGTTTGTGTAATATTGATTAATATTTTTATTTATTAATATATAAAGTTATTTAATATGTGCATGTATATATGTGTGTTAAAAATATTAAATAATAATGTTTAATTAAAAAATGCATATTTAAATAATGTTTGCTTATTCTATCTGAATTGTATTTTCATGTTCTATAAACAATACTATTTATTATAATATAAAATATTTAAAATATGAAATAACTACATTTAAATAATACATCTTTTAATCAATGTTTTCTAGCTGGAATTGTATTTTTGCATGTTCTCTATATACTATTTATTATAATATATAATATTTATATTATATATATTATATAATATTTATAATATATATATTTAATTAATTCAAATATTAAGGGATTTATCATGAAATTTAATTTTTGCATGTTGTAAAATATGTTTTCTGGTTCTTGTTGTTTTTGTAGGGCTACCATCGACCGAATCACTACATCGCCACACAAGGTAAGACAAATGGTCATTATTTTGTGTCTGAAAAACTTTATTTACCTTTATTTAACCAGAAAGTCTCATTGAGATTAAAATCTCTTTTACAAGAGAGACCTGGCCAAGGCAGACAACATTTTAAAATACAACAAATACACATTAGAACAAGATTAAAACATAATATCCTCTCAACAAACACACACACACACACACTCTCACACACACACACACACTCACTCACTCACTCACACACACACACAAACACGCTGAGCTGTTTTATGCTGAAACGGCGTCTTGAAACAATCATATGTTGTTGTTGTAGTTGTGGGGGTTTTAGTACAGAATAAATGGATTATCCTTTACATGAGTGAATCTCAACCTTTTGGCGTACCGGACCCCAGTCCAATTCAAAACCATCCTCAAGGACCCCCAGAACAAAATTGACTCATCTATGTATCATTTGTGTCTTTGTGAGGACCAAATACAGTCAAGTATAATGCAGGTTAGCTGACTTGTCCAGTATTTGGCCATATCATCAGCTATATTGGATTTTTCTTTGTCAAAATATACAACATTTATACAAAAATTCATAATTTATACGGACACCCTGGCCTTACGTCAAGGACCACTAGGGGTCCACGGACCCCTGGTTGAGAAACACTGCTCTACATGCTGCATGCTCGCGTGTCTGGCCTAATCTGGCTGTCAGCGCGTCAGTTCTCCCAGCATGCCCCTGAAGGCCGTGTCTGATTGCTAGTTAATTGTTGTGAGATGTTTCTGGAGTGCCGGACCGCAGTGAGTTCCAGCGCTCTGAACGCAATCACTTCCTTTAATAGACTCGCGCTGGAGCGGCGTAATTACCTGTTTACCGGAGCGACGCCTGGCTCGTCTACAGGGACGACAACGGCTAAAACGCCTCTATACTAACAAAATAAAATTAGTATTTGAGCAAAAAAAATATTTTACAGTACAGCTTTAAAATTGCGATACTAATATCTATTTCAGTTTTATTTAAATTAATTGTGCAGCCCTAATGTAAAAATGACTTTCTTTTGTAAAATAGAAAATGTTGTTTGGACCCCAGTTCTATTCAAAACATATTTTTGGTGCACGGAAGAAAGTAAGTCGTACAGGTTTGGAAAAATATGAGGGTCAGTAAATGACAGAATTTACATTTCTGTGTGAACTGTCACACTCTAAACATTGGGAATCTGTATTTCAGGACACTGATGTATTAAAACACAGATGAAACATAGACGAAGGTTCATTAAAAGTTCCCTCTTAAAAGAATCAGTGACAGTGTAAGTCCAGGACTCAATTACACACACTAGGAACATTTGCCTCACAATGTGAGCAAATGACTGGAGTCGTGCATAAATGCAGCGCACGTGAGCATCAGATGAGCAGCTGCATTCGTTTTATATGACGGCTGAGAAAGTGGGAATAATTTTGCCGTGCCCAATCCCCGAGGTTTTTCTTTAATGGGAACATGTCATGTCAAAATATACAACATTTATACAAAAATTCATACTTTATACGGACCCCCTGGCCTTACGTCAAGGACCACTAGGGGTCCACGGACCCCTGGTTGAGAAACACTGCTCTACATGCTGCATGCTCGCGTGTCTGGCCTAATCTGGCTGTCAGCGCGTCAGTTCTCCCAGCATGCCCCTGAAGGCCGTGTCTGATTGCTAGTTAATTGTTGTGAGATGTTTCTGGAGTGCCGGACCGCAGTGAGTTCCAGCGCTCTGAACGCAATCACTTCCTTTAATAGACTCGCGCTGGAGCGGCGTAATTACCTGTTTACCGGAGCGACGCCTGGCTCGTCTACAGGGACGACAACGGCTAAAACGCCTCTTTTACTTCCTCTCCCTCTCTCTTTTCATTCTGCACTGTCCAGCAGCCATTTCTATCCCGACCCGACACACTCTACACCACAGACTCTAAAATCAGCCAATCAGAGCTGATTTGATGTTTCTACAGCCAATGAGATCCCACTGTGGGCGGGGCTACAAGCTTCTCATAATTTAACAGTGTGTTCTGGGATTCTGTGTTCACACTCACCTGTTTAATGAGTTTAACGGGTCTCTCAGTAAATGACATGAACATGAGGAGAAACTGTCGTCGCAGGGTTCAAAGGAAAATCAGTTTTTACAGGACAAGATCAGAAAAAGCTTTAACAAGCCTGAAGTTGCTCGGATCAAAGCGAAACGCGGCTGTGAACCTCACTCTGATTCCTTCTCATGTATTCAGCTCTGCTGTGCCGCAAGTTTAGGAACATTAGATTTGCCTCTTATTTTTACTAGTTTGTATTTTGTATATGAGTGATTCTTAAAGTCATTCATTTTACTGTTGAAGGAGAGATTATTGTTGGTTTATTTGGTGGAGATTATATGTTTTATTGTATCGCATAAAAGTGGGAATAATTTTGCCGTGCCCAATCCCCGAGGTCTCATTGAAACGAGCTCGCTAGAACGATGAAAGCATTAGTCCCCCGGTGCGGGAACAGCGGCCTGACAGCAGCGCGCTGCTGAAGTCTTCTTCCCGCTGAGCGCTCGCACAGTAATTGCTGTTGGCTGACTCCACTTACAGCTGAAGCGAGCCGCTTAGAGGATCAGCAAATTACAGCAAATGTCAGCGCAATTCTCCCGGTGCAGTCCGGACGTGAGATCCGATCTGCGGTTAGGATTTAGCTAGTTAAGGATTATCTAAACGCTGCATGTGTTTCTCGTAAGGAACACTTCTACAACAAAGAGTTTACCATTATGATTATAGATGTTATTGCTCAGACTTGTCTCTTTTATAGCTCAGGAGAAACATCTGAGAAGCTGAAGACTCCATTCAATCTCAATTCTGTCTGGGAGAAAAACTGAGATGATGAAGAGATGTCAACTGTTGTCAGATACAAAATCTATGTGGAAGAATTTGATGAGAAATGATTGAGATCATAATGAGATCTATGACTTTTGATTGCAGGCAAATCTGAGTGCAGTTTGAGACTTTATTGTGGAGAGACGTGAGATTACAGGAGTCTTTTTCTCAGGATAAACATCTGAAAAGCAAGAGGCTCCATTTAATCTCATTTCTGTCTGGGAGAAACAACTGAGATGTTATCGAGTATGAATACTTCTCCAACGTCTCAAAAGAACGGAGTTTATCATTATCATAGATGTTATTGCTCAGTCTTTTCTCTTTATAACTCAGAAGAGAAACAACTGTGAAGTTGTAGAGTTGTCATTTGTTGTCATAAAGCTATAAAATTAAAGTTAATTTGATGAGAAATGATTGAGATCATAATGAGTTCTTTGACTTTTGATTGCAGGCAAATCTGAGTGCAATTTGAGACTTCATTGAGGAGACAGATGTGAGATTATGTGAGATACTGGAGTCTTTTTCTCAGGAGAATAATCTAATTTCTGTCTAGGAGAAACAACTGAGATGTTGTAGATATGTCAATTGTTGTCATAAAGCTATACAATTGGAGTGGAAGAATTTGATGAGAAATCATTGAGATCATAGTGAGATCTATGACTTGATTGCAGGCAAATCTGAGTGCAATTTGAGACTTTATTGAGGAGACGTGAGATTACTAGAGTCTTTTTCTCAAGAGAAACATCTGAGAAGCAGGAGACTCCATTTAATCTCATTTATGTCTGGGAGAAACATCTGAGATGTTGTAGAGATGTTGTAGAGTATGAATACTTCTACAACATATCAAGAGAATGAAGAGATCATCATTATGATCATAGATGTAATTTCTCTTTTATCACTCACACATCTTTGATTTATTGAAGGAAGAATAAGACGAGAAATGATTGAGATCATAATGAGACTTTTGAATGCTGGCAAATCTGCAGTTTGAGACTTTATTATGATCTCATTTTGAGCTCTTGCTCTCAAGAAATGAGAAGCTGGAGACTCCAGCAATTTAATCTCATTTCTGTCTATTAGAAACGATTGAGATATTGTTGAGACGTTTATTGTTCTTCCTGATGGTCATCTGCATTCCTCACATTGATAAATGTAATTAAACGATCAGGAAGGAAACTGTATATTATTGTGATTAAGAGGCGTCTAGTTTTGACAGATCTTAATTAAGTTCGTCAAGCTCAGACGATAACGAGAACTCGCCCACGAGCAAAGTCATCGGTAGAGAGTTCTCTAGGACACGAATGTTTGCTAACGCCGCTGTTTATGTGTGCGTATGAATATGTAAAATCTTGCTTCTCGCTCATGTTTTTCTGCTGGATGCAATTTGTTTTGGCTCAGAGTGAATGCATCAGTGCCGGAGAACGTGAGCACAGATTTGCATGAGCTAATTAGCTTGTCAAAAGTCATTTTGGAATTTGCTTGTTGATTAACAACAATGCTAATTAGAATGAATTAAACATGTGATTTTAATTCCTTCGGCTGCGCTGTTATTACCGGGCGCTGACTTACATGTTGCCCTTATTAAGTTGATTTGGAGCTTTAATGGAAATGCATACGAGCAAATCTGTCGCCGCTCGTTTGCATGCATTTATGAATGAGGCGTTTGAAAGTTTCAGCTCCGCTGCTGGAAAACCCATCCAATAATCCAACAAAGAGCTTCATGACTTCTGCGCCGGTGTCACTCTGGATTATGTTCAGTGGATCGTTTAATGGCTTCATGTGCTGGAGGAGTCAATCTCTCCGCATGTCCCGGTCACATTTCAGCGTAAAATCAAAAGAACAAAGTATAGTTTTGCATAAGGAAAAAACAAAATAACACTGTTGTTGACACACAGTATGGATATAGAGCTGTAAAGTTCACGTGAAAGGATTTGATGAGAAATGTTAGAGTTTATGATGGGATCTGTGATGTTTTTTGAGATCTGATTTTTTTTTTATATATATATAATTTTTTTTTAAAGATATTTTTAAATTTTGAAGGGAAATAGCATGTATTTTATATGTTTTTTTTTTTACATTTATTGACAAAGTAAGAATATAGCTCTATTAAAAGAATGTTGAACAATTTGATGAGAAATATTTGTGTTCATAAAAA